TTTGGTTCAGGTGTTTCTAGTGAAGTATATTGTTCATGCTACAGCATACAAAGATATGTCACACAATTGTGTCAATATTAACAACACCCATGTTTTGGAAATGAGATGTCCAACATTATGTGTGGAGATCAGATGTTCATGAAGCTTTGGTTCAGGTGTTTCTAGTGAAGTATATTGTTCATGCAACAGCATACAAAGATATGTCACACAATTGTGCAATTCCAACCTTGTGGCAACATATTTTCTATCGTGACACCTTTACAAAACAATTACAGCGCCATAAAGAAATGAGTTAACCAGTTTGCTTTGGAGGAACTCAAGTGGCCTTCACAGAGCTCTGACCTCAATCTTACTGAACACCTTTGGGATGAATTTTAACACCAATTTTGCTAGGTCTTCTCTTCCAACCACAGAACCTGACCTCACAAATGCTTTTATGGCTTGAATGGTCTCCATATTACTACCCACGTTTTGTAAATTAGATGTCCAACAATAAGTGTGGTGATCAGATGTTCATGAATCTTTGGATCAAGTGTTTCCAGTGAAGGGTATAGTTAATGCTAGTGTATACGAAGACATTTTACACAATTGTGCACTTTCAACCTTGTGGCAACAATTTCCCATCATAGCTGTGCTCCTGTGTACAAAGTCAGCCCCATAAAAACATGGGTTGACCAGATTGGTGTAGAGCAGTGGTTTTCAACCTGTGGGTCGCGACCCCTTTGGGGGTCGAACGACCCTTTCACAGGGGTCGCCTAAGACCATTAGAAAACGTATATTTCCGATGTGTAAAGAGCAGCTACTGTGTAGAAAGCAGCTGCTGTGTTGAAAGCAGCAGTATTGGAGGTAAAACGACACTCATGAATTATAATTACTGGGTAAATAATTTTATGGTTGGGGGTCACCACAACATGAGGAACTGTATTAAAGGGTCACGGCATTAGGAAGGTTGAGAACCACTGGTGTAGAGGAACACAAGTGACCTTCACTTAGCTCTGGCCTCAACTCTACCAAACACCATTGGGATGAATTGTAACGGATTTGAGCCAGTCTTCTCACCCAACCATAGAAGCTAAACACTCAAATGCATTTCTGGCGGAATGGTGTCCATTCTACCACCTACGTTTTTGGAGTTAAGTGTCCAACAAAAATTGTGATGATCAGATGAACCTTTGGCCAAACTGTGTATAAATGTACAGTATATCTTAAAGATGAATTCCAGGTATGGCAAATTTTGCATTGTTACTCTGGTTCAACTTAGACCAATGTATATTAATGATGGATGGCGACGTATACATATTCAAAAGGGGGGGGGGGCGCTCTATAATCCTTGGAAACCAAGGTGATATATAAAATTGAATAATTAATTAGAACAACGCTCCTTGCCAAACTATCCCATAAATGTGTAAACCCTCTTTAGAATCCAAAATGCATCTCCATAATTATTGATGCAAAAATGATCTACTGTGCAAAATGTGTCTAATGACCATCAATAAATGGAAAAATTAAATCTATATTCTGTGCAAACCTAAATTTTATTATGATGTTAGATCTCTCCACTCAACATCACAACAATCTCATAATTCATCAAAAAGTAATCATATACAATAATTCATGCATATATAATCATACTAGTGTAAGTAAGTGACTATACAAAATTATATCCCAGTGTCCAAAATGTTCATAAAGAAATAAATAAATTTCCTTATTCAATTTTTTCATTAAGCCTTCTGTTTTGTGCAACACCACCTCTGCGTGTAATCCACCACCAGACAGAATGAATAAACTCACTAGAGCTCCATGCTGGCAACTCTATAAACCAGCTAAAATGCAGTAGATCTGGGAGCAATGATCTGCAGAGACGCCAACTGACTATTACAACTCTTTAATCAGTTCCTCGTATACACATATGGAACCATAAGAGGAAAGGAAGAGGAGGCTTCCATAACGATGCTTTATTTCATTAAAAGATATAAATCACACTCACAATGTAAAGTGTCATAGCGGACACTCGCATGAACCACATATACATATACCAGCAGGTCAACTCCGATCTGAAACAACCACCGGCAGCTCACTCGTACGTGGTGACGTCACCTCCGAAGGCCCCGCTCTACGCGTTTCATCATTCAATGACCTCAAGGAGCAGAGCCTTGCGGTGTCTAATGGTCTATTTGTAATCATTTATTTTTTTGAGCAGTGTGTGTATATATATATATATATATATATATACTGTAAACACACACACTATATTGTAAAAAATATTGAGCCGTCGGCCTTTACACGCACATGAACATTAATGACATCCCAGTCTTAGTCCGTAGGGTTCAATATTGAGTTGGCCCCGCCCTTTGCAGTTATAACAGCTTCAACTCTTCTGGGAAGGCCGTCCACAAGGTTTAGGAGGGTGTCTATGGGAAGGTTGGACCATTCTTCCAGAAGCACATTTGTGAGGTCAGGCACTGATGTCGGGGGAGGAGGCCTGGCTCGCAGTCTCCACTCTAATTGATCCCAAAGGTGTTCTATTGGGTTGAGGTCAGGACTCTGTGCAGGCCAGTCAAGTTCCTCCACCCCAAACTGGCTCCTCCATGTCTTTATGGACCTTGCTTTGTGCACTGGTGTGCAGTCATGTTGGAACAGGAAGGGGCCATCCCCAAACTCTTCCCACAAAGTCGGGAGCATGAAATTGTCCAAAATGTCTTGGTATGCTGACGCCTTAAGAGTTCCCTTCACTGGAACTAGGGGGCCAAGCCCAACCCCTGAAAAACAACCCCACACCATAATCCCCCCTCCACCAAACTTTACACTTGGAACAGTGCAGTCAGGCAAGTACCGTTCTCCTGGAAACCGCCAAACCCAGACATGTCTATCGGATTGCCAGACAGAGAAGCGTGATTGGTCACTCCAGAGAACACGTCTCCACTGCTCTAGAGTCCAGTGGCGGCGTGCTTTACACCACTGCATCTGTTGCCTTGCATTGCACTTGGTGATGGAAGGCTTGGATGCAGCTGCTCGGTCACGGAAACCCATTCCATGAAGCTCTCTATGCACTGTTGTTGTGCTAATCTGAAGGCCACACCAAGTTTAAAGGGCTTTAGCTATTGACTCTGCAGACAGTTGGTGACTTCTGCGCTCTGTGCGCTGACCCCGCTCTGTCATTTTACATGGCCTACCACTTCATGGCTGAGTTGCTGTTGTTCCCAGCTGCTCCCACTTTGTTATAATCCCACTAACAGTTGAGCGTGGAATATTTAGTATCCAGGAAATGTCACGGATGGACTTATTGCACAGGTGACAACCTATCATGGGACCACACTTGGAGTCACTGAGCTCCTGAGAGCGACCCATTCTTTCACCAATGTTAGTAGAAGCGTCTGCATGCCTAGGGGATGATTTTATACACCTGTGACCATGGAGGTGATTGGAACACCTGAATCATGATTTGGAGGGCGGGACCAATACTTTCGGCAATATAGTGTGTGTCTATATATATATATATATATATATATATATATAAACCACAATTTTCAAATGTTGTTATTGTTGAATGAATGATTTTACTGTGCTGCATCCCTTTGCTTTTTTACGTAAATAAATGATTACATATAGACCGTTAGACACTGTTATACTTTTTGTCCGCCTGTGTGCGGCTATTATTTACTGAGAATTTGCTGTATGTTGTACAAGATACTTCTTTTGAAATTTAATAAAAATTGTTAATTATATTAAAAAAAATAATGACATATATTTATTGCTGTTTTTCATATACAGTATATCTAAACAATATGTATACAGTATATATATATGTAATACTTTCCTTGTTCTCTGTCCACCAACGCCTCCTTTCCTCCTTGTCTTATCACCTAGCACTGTGAGTATGAAGTGACTGATCACAAGCTATAATCTTCCAGTGATTCCCTCTAAAACTTTACACCGATCTGTCAAGCTAAGACCCCACCACGGCCTGCACCCAATAAATATTCACCTGTATAGCCCATCAGCCATTGGTGAGATTAATTTGGATGGGGTAAAGCCATCAAGAAATCCAATTATGTCCAGAATGACCTAGCTGAGATTTAAGATTTGAGATACTAGAGCTCCACCAATCAAGTCAGTAGATTGATCTCTCACATCTGTACATAATTTATCAGAGGCCTGGCGGCTGCCTAAGGCTGCTATGGAAGGAAAGACAGAAGTTTTATATCAGAACTTCAAGGGAATCTGCAGAACGCTATCAGTGTATACATTTGAATTATTATTCTGAAATATACAGTAGGTGGAGGAGGTGCAGTTTTTATACCATTGCCATTCATCAACATGTGTTTCCTTTGTGCGTTGTCATGCGTTTTGACATGTGTTGAAGCATATTTTCAATGCTTTTTTTCAAGTTGGATTTAGAGTGGATTCTGTTGATTCAGGCTTGGTAATACCTGTTGCCAAAACATCAAAACATGTCATATGCGTCTTGATGTATTGCCATTGGCTTCCATGGGCCTCTCAAGGTACTAAAAACACAGAAAAAAGGCCATGTAATTTTTTTAAAAAATCTCATAGCACTGCAGGGCTGAGATAGAGGCAGGCACACGCTTTATTATGTGTTATAGTGACACATGCGTTTGGCCTGTCCTAAGGCATGCATCAAAACAATGTAAATGGGCCCTTAAATGATTACATGTTTGCTGTTACACATTTTAATTACTGTATACCCCTGGTGCCCAACCCCCGGGCCAGGAACCATATGCGGCACTTTTGTACTGCCCTGGGGACCTGCAGAGAGTAATCTATTTTTTTTTCTATTACCCTGTAATTGGAGTGGCCTCTAGCAGTCACAGTAATGTGTCTCCAGTCCAGGGGCGGACTGACAACTCATGGGGCCCCGGGCAATAGGGGATCATGGGCCCCTGTGTCCTCGCCCACACTCAAACCACACACAAAAAAGCCTATGAAAGGTACCAGGGGCATCTCATGGGGCCCCCTACTGACCCTGGGCCCTTGGGCAGTGCCCGAGTGCTCGAATGGTCAGTCCGCCCCTGCTCCAGTCTATGTCTCCTGAACCATATTTCCAGTCTCCAGCAACTACTAAAGCATGTCTGCAGTCTCTGACAATCTCCTGTAGTATGTCTGCAGTCTCTGACCATCTCCTGTATTATGTATAAGTATCTCCTGTAGCATGTATGCAGTCTCTGACCATCTCCTGTAGCATGTATGCAGTCTCTGACCATCTCCTGTAGCATGTCTGTAGTCTCTGACCATCTCCTGTAGTATGTACGCAGTCTCTGACCATCTCCCATAGCCTGCATGCAGTCTCTGACCATCTCTTGTAGCATGTATGCATTCCCTGACCATCTCTTGTATTATGTATAAGTATCTCTTGTAGCATGTCTGTAGTCTCTGACCATCTCCTGTAGTATGTCTGCAGTCTCGGACCATCTCCTGTATTATGTATAAGTATCTCTTGTAGCATGTATGCATTCTCTGACCATCTCCTGTAGCATGTCTGTAGTCTCTGACCATCTCCTGTAGTATGTATACAGTCTCTGACCGTCTCCCATAGCCTGTATGCAGTCTCTGGCTATCTCTTGTAGCCTGTATGCAGTCTCTGGCTATCTCTTGTAGCCTGTATGCAGTCTCTGACCATCTCTTGTAGTGTGTATGCAGTCTCTGACCATCTGCTGTATTATGTATAAGTATCTCTTGTAGCATGTATGCATTCTCTGACCATCTCCTGTAGCATGTATGCATTCTCTGACCATCTCCTGTAGCGTGTCTATAGTCTCTGACCCTCTCCTGTAGTATGTATGCAGTCTCTGACCATCTCTTGTAGCCTGTATGCAGTCTCTGACCATCTCTTGTAGCCTGTATGCAGTCTCTGGCTATCTCTTGTAGCCTGTATGCAGTCTCTGACCATCTCTTGTAGTGTGTATGCAGTCTCTGACCATCTGCTGTATTATGTATAAGTATCTCTTGTAGCATGTATGCATTCTCTGACCATCTCCTGTAGCATGTATGCATTCTCTGACCATCTCCTGTAGCGTGTCTATAGTCTCTGACCCTCTCCTGTAGTATGTATGCAGTCTCTGACCATCTCTTGTAGCCTGTATGCAGTCTCTGACCATCTCTTGTAGCCTGTATGCAGTCTCTGACCATCTCTTGTAGCCTGTATGCAGTCTCTGACTATCTCTTGTAGCCTGTATGCAGTCTCTGACTATCTCTTGTAGCCTGTATGCAGTCTTTGACTATCTCTTGTAGACTGTATGCAGTCTCTGACCATCTCTTTTAGCGTGTATGCAGTCTCTGACCATCTCTTGTAGCGTGTATGCAGTCTCTGACCATCTCTTGTAGCCTGTATGCAGTCTCTGACTATCTCGTGTAGCCTGTATGCATTCTCTGACCATCTCTTATAGCATGTATGCATTCTCTGACCATCTCCTGTATTATGTATAAGTATCTCTTGTAGCATGTATGTAGTCTCTAACCATCTCCTGTAGCATGTATGTAGTCTCTAACCATCTCCTGTAGTATGTATGCAGTCTCTGACCATCTCTTGTAGCATGTCTCTAGTCACTGACCATCTCTTATAGTATGTATGCATTTTCTGATCATCTCCTGTATAAGTATCTCTTGTAGCATGTATGCAGTCTCTGACTGATCTTAACATGTGTACGATCCCCTGTGGCTGTATTATTAGGCTCTCAGGTGGCAGTCAGGGAGTGCCCGACTAAAATGCAGCTAAACTGCCCATTTTTACTGCCTGTTTGGATAAAGCTTTAGATCAGTGTTCCCCAAACTGTGGCCCGGGGGCCGGATGTGGCCCTTTGCTTGCTTTTATCCAGCCCCTGGGGCACTATTCTATCCACTGACTCCAACATTGGGACATCATTCCTGTCACTGACTCCAACAATGGAGCACAAATCCTCCCATTTACATGAATGATAGTATACAATTCTAACCAATATCACTAACAATGACATCCCAATGACATCAACGATGTGGCACTATTTCTCTTGATGACACCTACAATGGGGCACTATTACTTCCAAAAACACAAATCATAGGGCACACTTCCTTCCACTGACACCAGCAGTTGGGCACTATTCATTCCACTGACACCTACAGTAGAGCACAATTCCTCTCACTGACACCAGTGCTGGGAGACAATTCCTTCCAATCATGGGGCACTATTACTCCAATTACCACCAATGGTAGGGCACAGTTCCTCGCACTGACACCAATGACAAGCCACTATTCCACCCACTGACACCAGTGATAGGGCACAATTCCTCCCACTGACACCAACAATGGGCCACAATTCCTTCCTCTGACACCAATGATGGAGAACTGTTCCTTCCTCTGACACCAATGATGGAGAACTGTTCCTTCCTCTGACACCAATGATGGGGTATGATTCCTTACCTAATTCCAAATATCGGGCGTTGTTTACTCCCAGTGAAGCCAGGATATTTTCTTCTGTGAGTTTGCGCAGTCCAGCCCCCCTAAAGTCTGAACGATCATTAACTGGCCCTTTATTTAGAAAGTTTGGAGACTCCTGCTTTAGATTATTTGACTATTTCAGGCCAGTCATCTGATGTTCTGTATCTTACAGACCAGGGTTCCCAAATCTGCTCCCCTGAATCTCTCCAGGACTCTCCCATTATAACAATTAACTTTTATAGTCATTCATATAGAACAGTATACTAACACACCATAGCATAGAATGACTGGCAAAAGGATACATGCCCTCCGACACCCCCAAAGCTCTGATTGATGTGATTTCAATGGATCATGGAAGGAATATATTCAAACAAGAATAAGGGCTCTTTTACACTTGTAGTTGGGGGTGAAAAAAACAGGCAGTGGAGCCTTGTTTTTACACCCCCAACCACCCCTTCAAAATCTGCGAAGACAGCTGAACAGGGGCGAGCATAAAAATGAACAACAGAGAGCGCCAGACTAAGTGCAGTAGTATGGGCACAGTCAGGGCTGTTATTAGAAACAACAGGGCCCCTTACAGTCAACCTGAAAGCCCTCCCCCCCCAAACCATAGGGCTTCATACAGCCATCCTAACAGGGCTCCCCATCCCCATGAAAAAAACACAGTTTACTATGCTGCAGTTATGAATGGACACATTGAGTGACTAGTACCGATCACTCGTTATGTTCATTCAGGAAAGGAAGGGGCCGCTAAATTTCTGGAACTGATCCCCTGTATGTCTCTCTCTGCAGCAGCTGAAAGCCAGTGGAGAGGGGGAGAGGAGAAGAAGCCAGCTTTCAGCTGCTGCAGAGAGAGCCCAGGCCTATGGGGCCCAGGCCAGCAGGGGGGTCCAGGAAGCTGGGTGAATAGGATATGGGCAGGGAGGGTGATCGACACAGCTTGCGGGGGGGGGGGGGGGCAATTACTGGAATCGATCCCCTGTATGTCTCTCTCTGCAGCAGCTGAAAACCAATGGAGAGGGGGAGAGGAGAAGAAGAAGCCAGCTTTCTGCTGATACAGATAGAGTGATACAGGGGATCGGTTGCAGTAATTGCCCCCCCCCCCATGCCATGTCGATCACCCATCCTGCCCATGTCCGATTCACCCAGCTCCCTGGGCCCCCCTGCTGGCCTGGGCCCCATACAGGAGGACTGGTGGTACCCCCTTATCCATGGCCCTGGGCACAGTTGCCCATACTACTGCACTTAGTCTGGCACTCTCTGTTGTTTTTTTTCTCAGAGGTTCTTCAGTCTCATGAGGAGCAGCCACTGGTGTTGTGTGAAGCAGGATATAGACTTCATGGACTCATTTACAGGGACTTTGGAGTTACCAAGGAATCTAGAGATTTACCTACAGCTTGTTCATTGGTTCAGCTTTTCCCGTGTATTTCCTTGTTCACCAGTTTATGTGTGGGAAGCTTCTGTTTTGCGCCATTTGCTTGTCTTTGTTTGAACAGGGGTGGACACATGCCTCAACAATGATAAAAAATTTATACCCCCTGCCAGGGGTGGACTGACAACTCATGGGGCCCTGGGCAATAGGGGATCATGGGGCCCCTGTGTCCTTGCCCAAACTCACAAAAAGCCTATGAAAAAGGTACCCAGGGGCCTCTCATGGGGCTCCTACTAACCCCGGGCCCTCGGGCAGTGCCCATGTTTCTAAATGGTCAGTCCGCTCCTGCCCCCTGCTGCATCTGGCCAGCAGTAGCACCACCAAACATGACCCATTCACAGCTGCCAAACACAACCAGCAACTGCCCTGTATCCAGGTGGAATGCAAACATTTGCAGCACGGTGGTGGGGGGATATACAAGTTTAAAACAGCAGTAAGGTGGTGATGTATTGCCTCCTCACTGGCTGTCAAACACCCCTGTGAGGAGGCTGTCAAACACCTTATTTGGCCTCGCAAATTTCTTTTCAGAGGGTTGGTAAAGGATACCACACATCAAAACGGGGCCTTACTACATTTGACTTTTTGTTTCTAAAAACTGTAGAAATACTTAGATCAGAAGTTCAGACTTCCCTCTGATTTGAGCCACAGAAAGCCTACCCTAGAAAGACCTAAGCACAAAGACAGCCAGGCAATTAGCATTTTCAGAAGAAGTTCTGAAATGCCAGGCTCTGTAGCTCTGTCAATACTGGTGTCTTTGAAAGGGACCCTCAATAAAGTCATGACTCCTTTTTTGATTTTTTGCTGCAGGTAAGTGACTGAAAGCTTCGAAACCAGTAAATCAACGACAGCCAGGCAACTAGCATTTTCAGAAAGAGAGACCAGCAATACAAGACCCCCATATCAGGTTCACGTTAAAGAAAGAAAAAACTGAATTGCGGAAAAGGAAATTAAAAGTCTAGACTGTTGTGTCAACTATGAACACTCCCGGTCTCTTCTTTGTAGCAGTCAGCAGATCTGCAAATTGATATAATTTACTCTTTGAAAGCGGACTAAAGACGGGGAAGTACAAGTCCCTAACTAGTCATTATAACCACCAGAAGAATTATAATGAAATGGAAGTTACATGGAGTCAAGACCAAACCCTGAAGACTACCCATCACGGGTGCAGCACATTAGCTCACATTTATATGATAATGTTCTTTGTTCTCAAAGCTGCTCCAGGCAGAAATAAAAGACATACAGTCACGGCCAAAAATTTCGTCCCCCCAACGTTTCTGTCAGATAACACACCAATTCACCACAAAAATTGTTGCACTTACAAATGTTTCAGCAGTCTCATGTTTATTTCTTTTGTTTGTATTGGTATGACTCAAAAAAGTGGAGAAACAAAAAGTCAGATCTGACACATTCCACCCAAAACCCCCAAAATGGTCTGGACAAAATTATTGGCTCCTTCTCAAAACGGTAAGGCCTCTTTCACACAGGCGTTCTGTATGTCCGGTTTTCATCTGTCCGTGTCTGGATCAGGGGCGGATTGACAACTCATGGGGCCCCCGGGCAATAGGGATCATGGGGCCCCTGTGTCCTTTCCAAACTCAAAAAAGCCTATGAAAAAGGTACCAGGGGCATCTCATGGGGCCCCCTACTGACCCCGGGCCCTCGGGCAGTGCCCGAGTTTCC